AACATTTATTAGTTTTTTTTGGTGGTCTATCATTATATACAAATAATTTTCCTTTAACTCAGGGTTAAAGAAATCCCACTCAAAACTGCATACATTGATGTTTTATCTTGCACTTAAAAACCTTAATTTTGAAGTAGTTCTAAACTTACAGAAAAGTTGCAAAAATAATACAAAGAATTTCTGTATACCTTGCAGATTCTAAACGCCGACTGCAGCTTCTCCTCAGAGTGTGCAAGCATGCACGGCAAACTAAGATTCCTGAAATGGCTCAAGTTGCCTTTGTATTTTCTAAAACTAAGGCCATTCTCTTCAATAATCATAATTATAAAAGGGAAACATTCTCCTTCCATAGCTGTCTAACACTTGCTGTTGACGTGGCAGGTTGATGGTTTTGCTGATACTAGGCAGCAGCAGCATGCCCTCATGAGACCAGTGTCTACAGTTCAACTCACTTGGAATTTCTGCATTTGGTCAGAGGTGAGATTGTGGTTCTTTCAGTCAGTTTTATCAAGTCTGAGTACATGTGGGTCTTTTATTTAGTTTGTTCCACGGGGTCTCACATAGGTCAGGCTGGCCTCACAGTCACTTCCCAGGGATGATCCTCCTGCCTCCACCTCTCAAGTGCTGGGAGTACAAGAATGAGCCACTGTGCCCCCCCCCAAAAAAAAAGACAAAGACACAGATAGCTCAGGCTGGCCTTGAGCTTGTAGCTGAGGATGACTCTGAACTCCCAACCCTCCTACTGCCATAGGTACCATTGTTTCATCGAAGGAAGCCAAGTCAAGAACGCGAAGGGGGAACCTCGAAGAAGGAATTGAAGCAGAGACGCAGAGGATCACCACTTATTGGCTTTCTCATCCATCTTTGCTATACACCTGGCCCGCCTGCCCAGGGAGGCATTGCCCACACAAGGCTGGGTCCTCCTACTTAAATTTACAATTACAAACCGCCCCACGGACTTGCCCACTGGCAACCAAATGAAGGCAGGTCCTCCGTTGAGGTCCTCTTTTCCCAGGTGACTTGAGTTTGTGTCAAGTTGAAACTAACCTGCACATACATAAATATATATCTCAAAAGTTTAATTATGGGGGTGGGGAGATGCTTCAGTTCCTAGCACCTACGTGCAAAGCTCAATGTGGCGGCACATGCTTGTAACCACAGCACGAGCAAGGGAGGAAGGCAGCTCCTTGGCAGCCAGCTCAGCCTCCACCCCCGGAGATCCTGTCTCACAAACTAAGGGCCAATGGGATGGTTCAGCAGGTGAAGGTGCTCCTTTACCTGTCTCTAAGACCTCTACATGCATGACATGGCGTATATGCCCTGCTCATCCTTTCCACATACAAAGTAGTAAAAATGTAATAATGCTAACAAAATGTAATGTACTAATAAACCCCCAAGGCAAATGGCTACTGAGGAAACACACCTGAGGTTGACTCCTGTCCTCTACACACCTCTCCCCCACATAAAAGTTTAATTCAAGTGCTTTTTGTACACCCTGGAGGCCCTGAGAGGGTCTTTTACACCTTGGAATTAGAGTTACAGACAGTATTGAGTCACCATGTAGGTGCTCATGTAGGTGCTCTGAAACCCGGGTCCTCTGAAAGAGCAGCCAGTGCTCTTAACCACTGGGCTATCTCTCCAGCACATGAAGTGCCCTTCTTAAGACTTTACTATTCCTTTTCTGTTTCTTCCTCTTCTGTTTCTTTCCTTTTCTTCCTGTGTGGTATCAGACTGCCCTTAAGAGCAGTGGTTCTTAACCTGTGGGGTGTGACCCCTCTGGGGGTCAAATGGCCCTTTCACAGGGGTTGCCTAAGACCACCCTGCATATCTAATTCCAGGGTATAAAACACCCTCTTCTGGCTTCCAGGGTGCACATATGGTGCATATATATACATGCATGCAAAACACTAATACACAGAAATCCAAAAAAAAAAAAAAAAAAAAAAAAAAGGCTGCCACACATTACAGTATTAGATTGGACTGTAGGCACCAATTTGAACTCATGATTTTTTTTCATTACACAGATGAAGCGATAAAACCAGACGTGTGTGTATGCATGTGTTAATAGACCTTTTAACTTCCTGGCGCATCTGCTGGGAGGGCCTGGGCACCACCGAGCACCCCTGGTGTCCAGTCCTGAAGCATCAACATTGGCTCACACAACAAAAGGAAGCAGGAGTCTTGGAGACATGGGAGCTGTGGTATGGAGACTGTGAGTGAGCCCTGAAGAGTCTGTGGTGCCGGAACATGAGGCTGCCAGAGGCCAAGCACGAAGGACCTCCCAGTGGCCAGGCAGGGCTGCACTGAGCACCACACTTCTCCTACGTGACAACCCACAGAATAAATTAGCATACACTACTGAATGAGGTAAAAGGTCTTTAGAACAGAATACCAATGAATAAATACAGGTGGATGAATAAGGAACAACCAAGTCTTCCTAAGGAATACAGTAAATACCACAGTAAAATGTCTGAGCCGAGACGGACACAACTCTAGGAAAAATTCTAGGCATGTGACATTTAAATAGCTTCAAGTATTTCCCAAAACATTTTCATCCTTTTACAACTTATTATTACTATTACTGGGTGTTGTGTGTGTGTGGGGGGGGGGCAGGGAAACTCATGTCACTGCATGTATGGAGGTCAGGGGACAATTTTTTTTTTTTGAGACAGGGTTTCTCCGTGTAGTTTTGGAGCCTGTCCTGGAACTCACTCTGTAGCCCAGGCTGGCCTCCAACTCAGAGATGCGCTGGGCTCTGCCTCCCGAGTGCTGGGAATAAAGGTGTGTGCCACCACTGCCCGGCCAGAGGACAATTTTTTAAAAGATTGTATTTATTTATTATGTATACAGTGTTCTGCCTGCACGATAGAAGAGGGTACCAGATCTCATTACAGATGGTTGTGAGCCACCATGTGGTTGCTGGGACTTGAACTCAGGATCTCAGTGCTCTTAACCTCTGAGCCATCTCTCCAGCCCAGAGGACAATTATTTTGAAGTTGGTCTCTCCTTCTATCTTTATATGGGTTCCAGGGATTGAACTCAAATCATCAGGTTGTGCAGCAAGCTCCTTAACTTGCTGAGCCATATTATGCCCTCTCACTATTTTTTTTTTTTGGACAGGGTCTCACTATATAGCTCGAGCTGGCCTGGAGAACACTCTGTAGACCAGGCCAGTCTAGAATTCATAGAGATCTACTTGCTTGGCTCTTTTTATTTGGAGACAGGGTTTTACTATGTAGCCCAGATTGGTGTGGAACTCACTGTGTAGCAGAGGGTAGTCTTAAACTTGTGACAATCCTACCTCAGTCTCCCAATTGCTGGGAGTCCAGGCATAAGCCAGTGTGTTTGGCTTGATTTCATTTCCAGGGGAAAATTATATATATATATATATATATATATATATATATATATATATATATATATATATATATATATATATATTATATTTTTGTGGTGTTGGGAATCAAACCCAGGTCCTCATGCATGTTAGGCAAGGTCTACTACTGAGCTATACCCCAGCCTGAAAGTTTACAATTTTCCAGTCGAGAAGCCTTATACAGACAACCCTACCTCATGATTACAGTTAACAGGCCAGTGTCGGGAGGCAGCAGGGCAGATGGCTTCTGTGGTCACCTTGCCAAGAATGCAGACCTGTCTCATCAGTGACAACATTAGACAAATCCAAGCTGAGGGACTCTTTAAAAATGTCCAGAGAGAAGATGAACGAGGAGGACACAGAAACTGCCTCAGGCAGGTAGAGGGGAAGGCAATGGAAAGCGAAGTGCAATATGGGGTTTCTGGGCAGGACTGGAGCTGAAAAGGGACACCAGAGGAAGGCTGGTGAACTCCAGATGCTGGCAGATGGGCAGGAGCATGTGGCAACGCTCATTTCCTGGTCCTGGTTTTGCCATCACCCAAGGTTTCATGGGTCTGACATTAGGAGAGGCTGGGGAAAGGTATGAGAGTTTTACCTTTTTTTGGGGAGGATAATTTTCTAAGTCTAAACAACTTCAAAATAAAAAAGAGAATACAATTATTGAGGTAGAGAGCAGCAGGCTGCCGGACAGGCTAGGTGGTGCCACCCAGAGCTGTGATCATGCCTGGCTTGACCATCTTGTCATGGCATTCTTCTATGACCCACGGCACTCACTGCCTTCAGCGCCATCTCTGCATCCTGACAGAAGCTAGCTAACACGCAGGAGGGTCTACTCAAACCCTGTAGGTAACAGTGACAACTGGTGGTTTCCACAGATGATGCACAGGGACTTGTCAGGTCTGCTGTATCCTGCCCAGCTGTCCATATCGAGCACGCCACGCTGAGTTATCAGCAGGCGTATTCCAGACTCACCTGCCTGGGGGAGCAGTTAAGGGATGGCTGAGGCACACTCCATGTCCACCTGCATGGAGTCTGACCCCAGTACCTGTATTGCCAGCCTGCTGAATGAGCCCTCCTCAGAGCTGAGTTTGGTTACCAGGGATCACGGTCCCATCCCAGAGGAAGGCAGGAAAAGGAACCACTCAGACCTATGGGTGCCCTACACTGGCTTAGTCATAAGGCTTGACTCCAGGGTGGTTATGATAAAGACTTGTAGGGCGTTGGAAAGAGTCAGCTGTAGAATAAACTACTGAGCCACCATGCTTGGGGCTCTTGCCTTCCTCCACTCCATGGGGACATCATGGAGATGAGCTGCATTAGCATAAGCAGAGGTGGCATACCACAGCCTGGTCCCTGTCTTCTTCCAGCCAGCCTTGTTTTCTGTTGCCATGCTTCTGAGCTTCTGGCAACATGTTCATGTTCTAGTGACAGCATGGAATTGAGTCCACACCGAGTGCAGACCAGGCTTCCTGTTCTTTGCCTTGGAGATCATAACAGACTATGAACCTCACAACCCAGAAGGCAGGGGAGGGCACGGTAGGTCAGTTGCCATGCCACAGCAAGGGGCCTTTATTAGATGTTCAGGGTACATACAGGCAGGTGGATGCTAGATGGTGTAGCACACCTTCTCAGGGTGGAGTGGTGCCTGGATGTCCAGTTTGCGGGTCTTGCTGTCCTTATCAATGATCTCCAGACGCAGTGTGGGTGGTGGACGCTTCTCAGCCTCAGGTGAGGGCAGCTCAGGGCTCTTGAGGAGGTGCTTGTCCGAGTCCTCCACGGTGATGCGCAGGGTGCAGCCCCCTGGTAGAAGGTCCTGCTCATAGGCTGCTGCCAGCTGGTTTACCACACGGCGCTCTACCTGCAGGTAGTAGAAGGTGACATGGCCGTTACTGCCTTGGCCTGCACCTGACCTATAGCCTGAGCCAGGACTGGCCTCTGTCACTTACTGTTTGGGCAAGTCAGAAACGTCGGAGCCTCAGTTTTCACTTGCAAATTGGGCTTAATGGCAACCAGCTCACCAGTGACTGCTAAAGGCTCCATGATGTTAGTTCTTGAGTCTCAGCCCAGGTCCTTCTAATGAGGGTTCATACTTATTCACCCCGCTTAGAGACTAGTGTTGTGTTTTGTTTTTTGAGACAAAGTTTCTCCCTGTAACCCTAGATGTCCTGGAACTTGCTCTGTAGACCAGGCTGGTCTCAAACTCAGAGATCAGCCTGCCTCTGCCTTCCGAGTGCTGGGATTAAAGGTGTGTATCCTATTGCCTGGCTAGAGACTAGTTTTAATTGATCACCTTTTATTTTTAGTTCTGAAGGGGCTTCTGTTCACTGTTGGTGTGGATAATTCCAGCGGCTGAACTACATGGAGACCACCTAAGCCTGAAAGTTGGGGCTCGGGGCACCACGGAGGAAGGTGTAGAGATACCATGCTGGTCTCAGGTGTCTGTGCTCACCTCATGTTTGATGGAGCGGGCGCCATAGTGGACATTGTAGCCATCAACCAACACATCTGCCACCTCGCGGTCCCACAGGAGTGTGATGTTGTGCCTCTGCTTGGCCTGAAGTAGGTCAGAGAGAGGCTTGTCTGCATGTTGCCTAGTACCTTCCAGCTCTAGGCACACTGCTCCACGGGGGCCTTGAGAGACTGGGCCCCCAGGACCACTGGCCACACACCACCTTTAAGGGCAGGAATCATTTTAAGAGTTCCAGATCTCTTATCCCCACCCATGGGCAGTCAGTTCTCTTACTCTCTTGGCCCAGAAGTTCAGTTCCTTGTTGACCAGCTGGATGAGCTCTGAGTGGCAGAAAGGGAGGAAGTAGACGATCTCATTGATCCGTCCCAGAAACTCATCTCTCCGGAAGTGAGCCTGCAGAGCCAGGTTAAAAGTGGAGGCACTCAGTGATGGTGGGGAAGTTTCTGGACCAATGGGGAAGATAAGGACTTCCATATTTCTGGAGGGGTTCCTCTGTCCCCAAGCCCCAGCAGGAGGCCAAAAGAAACACTCACTTTCAGGATGGGGCGGATCACATTCTCCTTAAAGTTCTTTGAGATGGTGATCTTGTCACTAATCTGGACGTCCCCTGTCAAGACAGATCATAAAGTATTACCCATCACACTCAGGACCTCTGGGGCTCTGTCAGCCCCATGGAAGAGCCCTGGGCTTGCTGTTGGGTGCATGTAGCCAGTCTAAGGTCCTGGGCCTTGTCTTGAGTGCCTCAGCTAACTTCTGAGGCCCTCTGGCTCGCAGATGACACAAACCACAAGCTCAGTTTTGGTTGGGTTGAGGCAGAAGACTCAGGATAAAGACCTGAGCTCTGACTCAGCAAAGAGGGTCAAGGGTTCCCTTGATGAGAAAGGCAGCTGCAGCCTCTCTCTGATGCCATCTCCAAGACCCTTATACGTGAGGCCTTGCCCACTTCCATAATGTCTGACCTGATGTCTCCTCAGAGTTTCTGTTGAGTGTGTATCTCTCTAGTCCCTAGGCCTGGGTGGTAGGTCTGAAGCCACCCTGTAAACCAGTGGACCCAGGCTTTACTGAAGGAGGGAGGGGGCACTCTCTCCTGTCCCCACTACTGTCTCAGATGATACCTACTTTCTGCTTTAAGGATCCCAATTCTATTTCTGTCCCCAGTATGCCAGTGGTCAGATCACCTCCCTGGACACCCCAGGCCACACATCATACCAAGGTTCTCAGCAATTCGATTTCGGCTCATCTCCAAAGCTTCCTGCCTCAGCTGCAGTGCATGCTGGGCGATCTCATCACTGGCTACATTGGAAGTCATGATGAAGATGGCATCCTTGCAATCAATGGTCTTCCCCTTGCCATCTGTCAGGCGGCCCTGGTAAGGATGAGGGATGGGATGTTTAAGAGGCTGGTAGCTGGGTAGGCTCCATCAGACAGCTGTTTCCCAGAGCCCTGTGCTGTTGCCTCCTACTCTAAGCTCTCTGAGCATAGGACTCACATCCTGACAATGGCTTTACCAACTGAGGCCTTCAGGGGAGGTGCACCTGCTTTTGGAACCTCAGGGCACCTAGCATTCCTGGTTTCCAGTGGCCAGTCTGACTCCCAAGCAAGCACACTTCCTTTGGAGGTCTACTCTGGGTAGGAATTCTCTGAGCCTTGTCACGATCCTGGTCTATCGGGTCGGTGAGACCAGGAAACAAACGATGATGATGAAGGGAAGCCTGGGAGGGAAGTGTGGAAGTGCAAGGAGGGAATCTTAGAGTTGAATATGAGGACCAGAAGAGGTCACTGGTGGAAGAGCTTCAGGAAGCCATGCTGGGCAAATGGTCAGATAGCTGTTACTCCTGTGGCTAACGATGTCTGATAAAGAAAGCTAGACAGCTCTCACTTCTACATTTTCTCTTTCTTTCTTTCTTTTGCCCTTCTTTCTTTCCTTCCTTCCTTTCTTTCTCCTTCTTCCTTCTTTCCTTTTCTCTCTCTCTCTCTCTCTCTCTCTCTCTCTCTCTCTCTCTCTCTCTCTCTCTCTTTTTCTGTCTTTCAAGACAATATGTAGCTCTGGAACTAACTATGTGGACCAAGCTGGCCTCAAACTCACAGAGATCCATTTGCTTCTGCCTTCCAAGTGCTGGGATTAAAGGCCTATGCCACTGTGCCTGGCTCTTTTTGATATATAGTATATACTATGCATGTGTAGGTACCTGTAGAAGTCAAAAGAGGGCACTAGATCTTCTGGAGCTGGAGTTACAGGTGGTTGTGAGCCACATGACATGGCTGCTAGGAACTGAAAAGCAAGCACTCTTAGCCATTGCCTCTCTAGCTTTTTTCTCTCTCTACCTACCTATCCATCTCTTATTTAATGAGACAGGGTCCCATGTAGGCAAGCCTAGCTTCATACTTACTGTGTAGCTGATGACAATCTTGAACTCTTGATCGTCCTGTCTCTACCTCCCTAGTGCTGGTATTACAGGTGTATGCCACCAGGTTCAGCTTATCTACCTTTGGAGCCATCCTCTATCCTGGCAGAGCAAGAGATGGTGAGGTTCTTCCTTTAAGCACTTCAGGAAATTTTCTTGGAATGTTTAGTTCTTTCCAGAAGTGACACTGAGGAAGCCATCTCTCCTAGAGACAGGTACGCCAAGAATAGGAATAGGACAAGAGAGACAAACTGACTCCAGAGCTCTGCCTTCTCCTCTGCACCAGGCTAGAGAGCATCCCAAGGGTGCCTCATGCGTTCCTCCCCAGCTTTCCTTCTAGGCCAAACTTAGTTTGAATCCTTTGCTTCTTCCTGGAGACAAGTGTGAGGAAGAGGGAGATAATCTTTGCCTGAGGTTGTCTGAGGTATGACAGAGCTAGAGAACATGGCCCTGGGGACAGATCACCAAACCACGGTGGGCTCCTGATCTTGCCTAAACCTGTCACCATGCTTAGGTCAAACTTTCCTTCCCCTTCCTTGATGGCACCAGAATGAAGCAGGGATAGTCTTTGCTTCTAAAGTCCATGCAGAGGCAAGAATCCCCAGTGCTGGGCATGCTTTCCAGGCTTGTTTTGCCTGGCCCTCCCTCCAAAGGGGCACAGCCCTCCACCTTTTGGAGTGGGCTACCCTGCTGTCCTTGTTTTGGGGTGGAAGAGGGAAGCAGGGTAGCCCTTGCGCTCTCTGCTCTTGCCCCTGCTCACTGGCTCTAACACAACAGAATCAGTGGGGAAGAGCTTGAACTTGGAGCCAAGTCTGGGTGCTTGTGGGACACGACCAAGCATGTGCACATGGCACTTCACTTTGTGTGTTCCACACTGGCCTCTGAGGACTGGGTTCATGTATTGCTGTCCTGGACAAAGCAATAATCAGCAGCAATTTCAATAGGAGAGACCAAAGCTCTGCTCCCAACTGGGCCTCAGGATGGTCCTAGGTGGATGAGGGGAGCAGGAGCAGTGCACAACTGACCCTAAGGGTGACTTTCACATTCACCTGTTTCCTTAGCAATTAAGATGTGTTCCAAAGATGAAGCTGTCCTTGTCAGCTGTCCTGGCTGGGGTGCAAATCTCACCCCAGGCTTATGGGCTGCTGCCTGTCTGCCCTGCCAATACTTCAGGTTCAAATCCTTCTGAGTACTTAATGAGAGGAGGAGATAGGCTTTTCTGGGATTTCTACACTGGGCTATAAGTGCTGTATCCACTGGAGATAACCCTAGTATTCATGGTGCTTTGGTGACAGCCATAGAATTCTTGATTTTCTCAGTGCAGTTATGGTTCAGGGACTTCCATCACCCCAAAGTCTGAATCACGTGCCCTTCTAACTGCTGCACTTGTTACTTCCCCCAGCATAGCAGCTACCTCAGGTGTCCTGTCCACTCCGCTCATCATTAACACCCAGGCTGTGCCCCTTCTGTCCTGCACAATGCTTCATGAATAAACACACCAGCTACAATACACACTGTGGATTGCCTACCACTGCAGTGACCCCCTCTTTGAGCCTTCTCTGATCCGCGCCAGGCTTGTAGTTCAGTCCCTCACTGGTTCTGTGCCACAGAAACCTGCTTAGATCGACGTGGCACCCTTGGAAGCCTCTGTTAGCCTCTGTGCTGAAAGAATCAAGATTGTGACTTTTGGCCAGAGCATTCCTAAGTTCTGGAGTATCTATGGGCTGGTTCACAGGCATCACGTTCTCAGCAACTGCCGTTCCCCAGGTGCATCTTCCTACAGATGGGGTCTGTGTCTGCTGCCTGACCTGCAGATTTCCTTGCTTTAGCTTATGGCTCAGCCATGTGATTACCCTGGCCAGAAATCGGCTCATGTGGACACCTCCCTCTCCTCACAGGCAAATGTCTAGGGGTTCTCTGCATCCCACAGAACCTACTTTAGACTAAGCTGCTGCAGCTACAGATGGATTCTTCAGGTGTCTCCTCACTGGGTCTCCTTTGCAGACCTGCCTTCAGGGTCTTTGTAGAGTGAAAATCTAACCCTGTTGCTTAAAGATCTTTCAAGTGTTCCTTATTCCCTGTAGGATAAATCTATATCCTTGCCTGCTTTAAATATTATTTGGGGTGTGTGTGTGTGTGTGTGTGTGTGTGTGTGTGTGTGTACACGTGCGCGCACGTACACAGGATGGAACCCAGGACCTGCAGCATGCTAGGCAAGTGCTCTACCTCTGAGCCTCCTTCCTAGCTGTGTGTCCCTTGGTGACCTCATCTGTCCCACTCTGCTCCTGCTTCCTGTCTGACAGCACTGGAGAAGAGCTGTAGATCCCTGGGGCTCTGTGGTGTCAGCTTTCCTCTTGCAGTCCTTCTCTGCGTTCACCTCATAAACACATGCTCGCACACACATTTCATCCCAGCACTTGGGAGGTAGAGACAGGTGGGTCTCTGAGTTTGAGACCAGCCTGGTCTACAGAGCAAGTTCCAGGACAGCCAAGACTACACAGAGAAACTCCACCTCAAAAAACCACAATTACAGTTAGTCAGCAGAGCATTTTCTGGCTTGGAGGGCTTGGGGCAATGACTGAGGTGCTCCAGTCAAAGTCCCATCCTCAGCAAGCATATCTTTAACTCTGGCTGAGTAAAAAGAGCATCACAAACCTGCAGGCCGGGCTGCATGTTGGAGGAAGGAATTAGTATCAGCTTCTTAAAAGGTCTGCAGTGGAACCCTGTGGCAGGACAGAGGTGGACTGGCTTTCATGGGAGGTATTAGCATGCTCTAGTTGGGCTGATTGTCAGCAGCCACTTTACCTCTCTTGGGGCCAAGAAGGCCACCATATGAATCTGTGTAGGAAGGCCAGAGGCCAAACAGGCTGCCAGCTCGCCCCCCTGAGCTGTGCTCTCCTCTTCTCAAATGCTTCCTTACAGATTGGCCTCCTTCTGGCCCTAGACAATGGCAGTCATGTAGCCTGCAAGCTTTGGAATGGCCTCCCTGGGCTAACCACCTTTACCTCTGTGTCACTGTGAGGATGGGAAGAATTGATACATGTGTATTTCTTAGAACGGTCTGTGGTAGCACACAAAGTACAAAATCTCCAACTAGTAAGTACCTGCCCCCTTTCTACCCGCTTCGTAGGTAGCTCAGTCGGCGGGTGTGGGTATGATCCACAGCTGAGCTCCTGAATCCCACCAATAGGTGTGATCCACAGCTGAGCTCCTGAATCCCACCAACAGGTGTGATCCCCAGCTGAGCTCCTGAATCTGACCGACAGGCCCCGAGTACATGTGTGACTGGCCTTCCTCCTCTCAGGCCAGCTGACTGGGAAGAGCAGGCAGCGTACCTGGGGAAAAGGCAACTCTGGGCCAGCTGGAAAGGCTGGTGCAGCTGGTGGGGACATTTGGATCCTGTGACTTGGGGCCTAAACTGTTACTTGCTCTCGGAGAGTCTCTCCCTGTGCCTCATGTGACATGGGAAGCAAAACAAATCTTCATTTTCCCAAAGCTGGAGGGGACCAAAGACATGGTGCTAGCTAGTACAGCTCTTAGCGAGAGAAAAGGTCCTCATCTCCACTCAGCCCTTGGTCCTCACAGTCTTCTGGAAGGGCAGGGACCCTGGAACAGGTGGAGCCTGTCCTCTGCTATGAGGACCAGTCACCACTCGGGCTCAAGGAGACAAGGTAGAGGCGAGCTGGCTCAGGATCACATGTATCCACAGTCCAACCCTGCTGGCCCCCCAGTTAAGGTTTCTCTGTTTACCAGACCTGGCTGATCTAGAACTCACTCTGTAGACCAGGCTGGCCTCGAACTCAGAGATCCACCTGTCTCTGCCTCCCAAGTGCTGGGATTAAAGGCGTGTGCCACCACTGCCCGGCTTCAACCCTGTTTTTTCACAGAAGCTCTGTAGCCACACAGTTTTCGTTTATACCTTCTCTGAACTTTGGTATTTTTGTCTATAAAAAAATAAGCTAACTTCTTCCTGCCTATCACAGTACCAGCAGTGATGTCTGTTAAATCTTTACTAGAGGGCCACATCAAATGCACTGAGGAGAGCAAGTTCTCATTTATAGCTCATCTTGTCTGTTTGGAGGGACTGCCCATTTGTAGGGAGATGGGCACTATGAACACCAGTAATATCATTTCATTAGTAATAATGTGGTTGGAATTAAAAAGAACTTGTGCAGGCCTGGAAAGCTGGCTCAGCAGTTCAGAGAACTGGCTGCTTGTCCAGAGGACCTAGGTTTGATTCCCAGAACTCACGTGGTAGTTACCATCTGTAACTCCAGCCCTGGGGGATCTGATGCCCTCTTCTGGCCTCTGTAGGCAACACACATGCACGCACACATGCACGCACGCACGCACGCACACACGCACACACGCAAGATTGCAACCTCCTTGTTTGTCACTGACATCTAGAGATGAGGAGTGACGGTCACAAAGTCAGTAAGGAGCAGGGCTAACATTCCTGCCTCCCTCACCCCTACACCATGGCACCTGTAGGAGGCAGCCTGGGAGACCATGAAGTCTAGCTGGTTTCCCTTCAAGTGCCTCACCTGGGCCCTGCCCAGAGAGGGGATGGAGTCACGTTTTCCAAGTAACTGAGTACAGATGGGAGGAGGGGAGCAGTAAACAGAGGATCAACCAGACAGGCTCTGGGCCCTAGGCTCCAATTGCCCGCAGCCCCCTTAATGCTGTGTCCCTACTACTCCATCTTGGTTCAGCCTGCTTTACCTCATCAAACAGCTGCAGCATAATGGTGAGCACATCTGGATGGGCCTTGTCCACTTCATCAAAGAGGACTACTGCATTGGGGCACTGCTTCAGCTTCTTGGTCAGCTGGCCACCCTCCTCATGGCCGATGTAGCCTGGCGGAGACCCAATAAACTTGGCTACCTGGTGTAGGGCAAGAACATGTTAGGAAGGTCTTCACCCCCCACTGAGACAGGGTTCTCTGTATAGCTTTGTATTGCTCTGTAGACCAGGCTGGCCTTATCCTCAGAGATCTGCCTGCCTCTCCCTCCTGAGTGCTGGGATTAAAGGCGTGTGCCACCACCACCTGGCTTCTTTTTGTGTTTTTAGCCTACAATATGGGGCCAGTGTGGGAAGATGGCTGCGTACAGTATTAAGAGGGCCAGTCTCAGCAAGGATAGTCAGCTACAGGTCAGGAATCCAGCCATGATGGATCAGCTTCTTCAGAGCAAATTTTGTAAAGAGCACATCAGTGACTAGTGTGCGTATACCCCCCCCCCCCCCCCAAATCCTAGGGCTGCTGGAATTTCCGGAAGCCTGAAGGCCCAAGTGACATATCATACAAAACACCAAAGTAGACCATCCTACCTCGTGTCGCTCCTGGAACTCGGACATATCAAGCCGGATGAAGCCCTACATGGAAAAAAGCAAGAGGTATGTCAACGTGAGACAGGAAGGGCCCAGGCCAGAGCCCTCAACTATCCTGGCCTTCAGGTCACAGCAGCTGGAGATGTCTCTCACATTCTCCGAAGTCCACATTTTTCCTAGTTTTTACTTCTCTCCCACAAGATACCTCCATTTTCTACCTTAGTAAGTCCAAATCCCATCTCTGCCTTTCTAAATGATTCAGATGTCCTTTCCCTTAGGCAGCTTCTACTGGTCTTCTTACCACATTATCTGTAGCTCCCACTCCCCTCCCTTCCACATGTGCCCAGCACAGACATCTTGTCCTTGAAGAGCAGCTGTTTGAGTGGAGCAGGCAGGCACGGTCAAGGTCAGCACCACCAGTGTAGATGGCAGAGATGAAGGACGGGGCTCCACAGTGCTCCTCAACTTTGCAAGGCTGTGGGAGGCCTATGTCCCCGTGTTTTCCTCTATAGTACATAGCCATTATTTCCTCTCCGTTTTTTCTTATAAGGCATCTATGCTGACCCTACAGGTCTCCTCTCTCCACTGGGGGCATGAGGCTAATTTCTCAGAAAATAGCCCTTTAGGGAGAAGGCCACAGTTAGTGCCAGGGAAAGAGGTGCTAGAGTTTGCGATTTGGCAGAGGCAGAGAACCCCTTCCTGGTCATGGGTACCTGACTATGGAAAAATTCGGCTCCCCTCTCCTTCCGAGCTCTTATAGAATGTACAGTACTGCTGCTCCCTAGAGCTGAGGGCAACGTGGCACCAGGACACTCAGAAGGAAGCACCCATGGTTATGGTCCAGCCAGGCCACTGTACAGGCAGCCACTCAGCCAAGTGGTTTGAGTAGTCTGTCCCGTCACTGCACATGGGTACAGGCTGGAGGGAGGTGCTTGGGCCCAGTGCTGCCACTAACTGTGGCTTTAGCCCTCAAGCCAGGCTCTGTCCGTGTGACACCAGGCTCTTGGCTCCTCTCCTTGCCTCAGCTGGGGCCTGAGGAGAGACCTAAGCCAACAGGAAGGAAAAGGGGAGAAAGATTATATTATTAAGGCTATGTGGCAGGTGGGGACTGCTCTCAGTTCATGGGGCATGAGCACCATATTCAAGAGCGTCTCAGCAGCGCATTCACAGAAGCTTCTGGAAAGGTACAGGATGACTGTGGGAAGTTCAAAGTGCTGACCGGAAGGAGCCAGAGTCTGGAAGAGTCATGGATACATTACTGATGGTAACAGTTGACATTTGCCATGCTTACTACCTGCCTGGCAATGTTCTTAGAACTACACGCCTATGGTAAGCAGGCCATGAAGAAACAGCCACAGACTGGAGTATCCTGTCTAAGGTCATGCAGGCTTTGCTGGTATGTTTTCAGTCATGACAAGTACTGCCCTTCGCTTCCCCCTCTGCCAAACAGCTGGGTTCTCATGGTCTTCACCTGAAAGGTTTAGAGGTTTGTGCTCAGAAGGGACTGTCACTGGATCCAGAAGGTACAGAGTAGTGCTTCCTTACAGCAACCACACCCAGTTATTCTGGAGTCTATTTCAGTCTTGCTAAGAGGCTTGGACAAGTTTTTGGGCTTAATATTCTTGGCTAAAATCTTTTTGGTTACATATGACTTTTTTTTTTTCTTCTGAGACAGGATTTCTCTGTGCAGCTCTGGTTGTGCTGGAACTTGATTTGTAGACCAGGCTGGCCTCGAATTCACAGAAATCTGCCTGTCTCTGCCTCCCGGGTGCTAGGATTAAAGGCGTGCACCACCGCCACCTGGCTGGTTACACGTGACTTTAACTTGGGGTTATTATGTACCGAGTGAGACAACAACAACCAAGGGCTCATCCAGCATGTCCTGACTGTGCATTCTGGGTAACGGGTAACACTGAGTAATGGAGCGCAACATCGGACATCACGGTCTCAGTCATCTAGTGGGATGAGCAGCATCATGGAACCCACTACTTAGCTAACTGGTGAAACCAGGGTCCCAGCCAATTCCACAAATACTTGCTCTTAACCTGTAACCATACTGCCACTAAGACTCCAAAGTCTTTTGGGCTCCAGTACCTGACCTTATGATACCATCACAGAACAAAGGTTCTTCCTCAAGGACTACGAACTCAGAGTTAACAAGGCTGTCCAGTTGGGGAGAAACAGTACAGAAGCTGAGGGGGATAAAAACCAAGGAGCTCACAAATGGACCTGCTAAGAAAAACATGCAGCTATAAATAACGTCTTGGGAGGCAGTAAGGCATTAGTACTTCTTCACAAACCAGTAAAAAAAACCAGAGAGGCAGACTAGAACTGGACTCCCAGGCAAGTGCTCAGTTCAGTGCATGAGCCACCTTGGGAGGCACCAGAAGAGAGCTCCCACTTGAGATGACCCATGTGACACTGGGCTCAAACCTGACACTTTTTGCTTTATGGAGTGTCCTGGAGGTGTCAGGAGCACTGGTTAGTCAGCTTACAGTCCAGGGTTCTCTTGGATTTTGAAAGCATGCTTCAAACATGAATGCTCCATGGATAGACAATGTTCACGTAAACATATTCTGTAATGAGTTGGCGCAGGGGGCTGGACAGATAAGGGGTTTAAAGAATCACCTATGATTTAGTAAGTGTTTCTGGGGGCCCATTATGCATCTCATCTTTCTCAGTGAAACAGATTAATCAACATGTCTGCCTCCTCCCCGCTAGAGCAGCTGAGAATAACGGTACTAAGAAAAGAGTGGAAGGCTGGACTCTGGGTTCACACCTCCTCCTACCAAATGACCTTGGGTAAGCCTCTTGCTATTCCAAGGCTTCAGTTTTCTCAACCAAAGAGCAGATCTAAGTTAGCATTGTGCTAAGTTCCTCCTAGGATCACGTAAGAACATACAGCAGGTGGGGCATGATAAAGGTGAGGGAGTAGTCTATGACAGTGTGTTGAAGCCTGAGCAGGTTAATGCTTACCACAACCTCCGACACAACTGAAGAGCTCTGCCCTGAGACAAGAAAGCTGATTTTGCAGGTAAGGAGCTACCTAGAGCCAGGAGAAAACAGAACTGGAACTCCAGCCGAGGGTCCCTGGCTCTGGAGCTTGGTACAGCATATCTCACTGTCAGAGAGCAGGTGTAGGCAGGACATGGTGATACTTGCATTCTCAGGGAGGCATATACTGATGGAAGACACCATCCCACTTGTGGGACACCCTGACGGGGGGGAATTCTGTCTCCCATTTAGATGCAGCACCTAAAAAATACCCGTATCATCAGTCTTCTAATAGGGCCCCTTCTTTCTATAGCAGCAAGATACTCTCCTATTTCCAGTGTGTATGAAGATATATTAAGACGGCATGGGTAAAGAGATTATAATTTGTAATTAAATATTAACCTTTCTGACAGTATTAAAATTAAACCACTCAGAATTCTTCATCCCTAATCAGGTGGTTCCTGCCCGTAACTGCATCTTTCCTAATAGTCTTGCTAGTTTATGGCCCTTTCCAGAGTGCTAATTGTTTCAATCGCTGCCACCCTGATGAATTGTCTAAAGCTGCTACTTCGGTTGGAGCACATTAGCATGCCACACACTTCTTCTTGCCTGCCTGCCTGTCTAGTGGGTATGCAGAGGTTGAGCACAGCTGTGGCAGAGACAGGAAGGTTTAAGTTTCCTGCCAGCTGATCCACAGAAGGGGCCCACACCCCCTCTTGTTTCTGTGGCTCCAAGGATCCTCAGGGAGGTGGCAAGGGAGCAGGCAGGCCACAGGGAATAGGAGTTCAGGACTCGACTGCTGAAGCTACTTGGCTGGAAAGGGCCTAAGTAACCCTTCCTTTGTCTGTAGGGGGTGGGGAAGACGGGAGATGTCCATGAAACCAGGCAAGCACACTGGAGTCCAGGGCAACCTCCTGGAAAATGGGGAACTTAGCCTTAATGTTGGGAAGATACTTAGCCTTCACTGAGTATTTTGTACTGTCACCAAGGAATGCTTTCTCAAAAGCATCTCCTGTCATCTAAGGCCTTTAAAAGCCAGGTGTGGATAAATGGAGCTGGGGATGGACTTTGCTGGGGAGAACCCAGGGCTCTGGGCTACAGGAAGGAGCAGAGCAGCAGTCTCAGTTGAGGGCACATGCTAGATAGAGAAACAGCAGACACCATACCATTCCTATTTGGTTGCTCCAGTATCTCCCGAAGTTCCCTGTAGCACCTGCCTGGAATACCCAGCTAGCCTGAGCTCCTGCAGACAGAGGCCTCAATAAATACCGTATTAGCTGTGAATACATCCAGCGAGATGCTTGGCATGGACCAGGTGCTCAGCTATGTGCAGGTGAATCTCATTTAGTTCTCCTAAGAGACCTAACTCAGGTAGACTAAGGATGATCATTTCTATTTCACAGCTGAAGAAACTGAGGCATGAAAACATTAATTCCTGGAGCAATTCCTGGCTAGAGCTAAGGCCTGCTTCTGGGGCCAGGGCCCAGCTTTTGACCCGCTGCTCCTTAGATTTCAGGACAACAAGCATGAATGGCATGGTTTCTCTGGCTTTTAGACGAGACCTGGGTCTTAATTCCTTACCTTTTTGGCATCTTTGTGCATATACTTGGCAGTCTGCTTGGCCAGCTCAGTTTTCCCTAGGAATAAGGGAGATGAGTTGGATCAGGACCAGATGACAATCTTTGGAGTGAAAGAACACTAGGGCCAAGAGTGGTGGCTCACATCTCTGATCCCAACACGCAGGAGGCAGAGGCAGGAGGATCTACACAGTGAGTTCCAGGACAGCTAGGGGCAAACAAACAAACAAACAAACAAGTAAGTAAATAATAGGGATGAATGGACACCGACAAGTACTCCTTCTGTGGATAGGGAGCTGAGAGTCAGAAGCTCTCCCAAGGTCACCCAGGGAATGGATGGTGAAGCTGGGACCACAATGAAAGCCTACACTGCCTCCCAATTTTCCTGTGATGAAACCAGGAGTTTTCTCTGTAGCAGCACCCCCAGAGTGGTTGCAGGCGGGAGGACTCATAAGCCAACTCATCCTTTGAAGCTGAGCACAAACCTATCTCTTCTAGGAGTGCCCTGCATCTCTCTTAAATACTCATGGTCCAGCCATTCAGCTAGACCCTGAAACCTCAAGCCAAGAAAAGGCTAGACGAGGATACAGAGTACTTCCCACTGGCTCCACAGATCTTCTTGTGAAAAAGAGGACAACTCCAGTGTGGTAGTTTGGAAGGGCCAATCTAGAATGATGGTAAAGCCACTATGTGGTACATAGAGCTTCATGATCAGGGTTATCGACCTTTGGGATCTGAGGAGAGTCAGATCCATGAATCCAGCTGGGAGGGGAAGAGGTAGTGGCTAGACCCTGAGATACCCATTGAAACCACGGAGGGAGGCAGGGGTGGAGGAAAGGTAGAGAATTATCTCAGAGAATACAGCCCAACTGACGAGAAAAGTATCCACTCCCCTACTCCAATCAGTTCTGCCGTGCACTGTGCACAGGAGTAGGTAGGCTGCCCTGAGTACAGCTCATGTGCCAGGCAGTGAAGGTGGTCAGTTGTCCCAGAGGTGAGCCTATAGGGATGCTCAGTAGCTGGGCCAGAGCTAACAGGCCCCGATGGTCAGATGCACCCTTGCACCATGAAGAAGTCCAGCTCTTCTTTCTTGGTGGCTCTGCAGTCTGGGGCAGCTGTTTCTGGAGTTGTCAGGCTGAGGCCAGAAGCTTCTCTAGCTCTCCTGCTCCAGTGGCTGATCTGCTGTGATTACCTATTCCAGATGATCCCAAGAAAAGGAAGACCAGAGGGTGCTCCTCATCGTACCAGCCATTCTCCTTCCGCCGGATCGCTATGGCCAAACATACAACACGGGATGGGGAGGGAGACAGATAAATCAATGACACAAAAGGCAGGATAATTATCACTAAGTATACAATATGTTTTACTGCTCTGCGCCCACTCAAAGTCCTCACTACCATTAGTGCTGCCTAATCTGATTAGCTGGCAAGGCCCCTAGAGACACCTAATCAGGTTAGCATGGATTTGGAAAGCTGCCCAGAGCAGATTTCGGATAAAGTTTTCCAGGATGAGCACTCAGCGTTGCCAGGGAAACCGAAAGGCGGGTGGATGGTGAATGGAGGTGAAGGGGGTTGGGGATGGTGAAGGAGAATCTGAGAGGAACGTTAACTCTCGCTGGTCACCCCTCTACTCTCCTGGGGAAATAGTAGAAGAATAATTTTATGGTGATATCTGGGGACCCAGGGAAATGTAAGATTTGGGTTCTTTCTCATTTGGGGAAACCAAGGTCTGCTCTGGTGTGTGGTTTAAGAAGTAGAAACAGAGCCAAAAGCATTTCTGGAAGCCAATCAAGGGTAGTGTAGAGCTTGGGGTCCATCTTTGCTAACTATGGATTCTGGAAGGCTGAGGGTGAGGAGTGGGACAGACCTGTACTAAGTTCCCTGAAGCCCTGAGGGTGAGGAGTGGGACAGACCTGTACTAAGTTCCCTGAAGCCCTTCTTCAAGAATAATAAGTGTTCAAGGGCTATGCATGAAGGTGAGGAGGCTGAGTCTCAGCTATGGAGTGGGAGAATCAGGCCGTAAGTGGAAGAGCAGGGAGTGGAATGAGGCGGAACCAGAAGAAGAGTCGTTTATTGAACACCTGTACACTAGGTACAATTGGAAACTACCAACAATGTATTTATTCAAGACCCACAGAAACACTGAAGGGAAAAGATTTTTAACTCCATTATCTGGAATAGGAAACAGAAGATGGATAGAGACTTGTTTAAGTCATGTAAGAGTTGCTTCTTTTCCAAAACTTGCCTTTATTAAAAAAAAAAAATCACAATACAGCCGCTTTAAGAAGTGAGTACCAATTTGGATTGTGCTAATGGAAACATAGTGGTTAGGAGCAGGAAGAGGACAGAGCACTGTGCAATGTCAGTCTGGGCTGGCCGCAGATGGAACAGTGTGTCTGCTCTGGTCCCCAGAGTGTCGAGGAAAATAAGAAAAGGATATAAGTCAGAGGACAAGGCCTGGAAACATACTCAATGGAGAAGGAGTCAACAGTCTTAGGGATGCGCCTGCCAACCTTGAGGAGTCAAGCTCCCAAATGTTATGCAGCTAAGCTTCAAAGCAGCTGCAGGACCAATGACAGATCACAGGGGCTGACAGGATCTGCAGAGGTGGCCGGCACAAAGCGGGTGGCGGGAGTGGGGTGAGGTGGGGGTGATGACACACACGAATAGAAGGATGGGTAGGAGCCAGCTGAGTCTGGAGCACCTGTCTAAGGCTTGCAGCCCCGTGCTTGTGGTCTTCCTCACCTTCTAGAAACAGATGGAGCAGTACAAACTCCAGAACCCAGACTCGCCACCTGTGCTGCAGGAGCTGCTCCCAGAGGAGGGCCGGGGGAAATGGCCTGACTGCCCCCGTGGGCTGCCATCGGAATCTGCTCTAACTGGCTGGCTGGGATTCTCTGAAGGGCTGGTTAGGAGTAGGGCTCCAGAGACCTCATGGGCCTGAACACAGGGATAAGGAGGAAACCCCAAGCCTGTCTGAGGAGGAGTCTGGTGCCAACAGAAACACTGAGCTAGGGGTGAGGGTATTTGGGGACAAGTTCAGGTAGTAAATTGGCAGAAGTAAAGACTTTGTGAATGCTATGGGTGAACATGCATGTATGGGGGCAGGGCTGAGAGAGGATCAGCTGGAAGAGCCACATTCTTCCAAAAGTTGGCAGATGAGAATCTATGTTGAGAACAGAGGAAGCCTGAAGCAGGTTCAGGCTTTATCTATCTGAGAAGGCAGGACCCAGCATTACTCAGACAGGTGGTATGGCCCCCTCAGGCAGGGTATCACGTTTGTGAGGTTCTGCTCTTTTGGGGTAGCATACTAACCCACTGAGAGCTGCACATTGCTAGGCTGTGCAGCATAAAAAAAAAACCCACCATGGAGAATGTGGAATTGAATTACGCCTGGGGCCATCTTTCCCCTTCCTTTCTAATAATGCACCTGGGAGAGAGCTCTTTATAATGCCAGGCAGACTCCACTGCACAGCTGTCCCTGGTCAATTCTGCCAGACCCAGGGCATGAGTTTGGGGTGGGCCTGCTCTGGGGTCCCTGTGAAACAGGCGAAATGCCAACCATTAAACAATTATAACTCTGGATATTTCTAATAATATCTGAAGAGAAAAACGGCCAAGCAGATGGAGTCCGACAGAATGAAAAATGAAGGCAGCTAGGAAAACTGGGGAAGGTGAGCCCCAGGGTGTGTGTGGCTGGTCGGGTGGCTGAGGACTGAGGCTGGGGAGCCTGTAAGAAAGAGTCCCGTCAGGCTAGGGTAGAGGTTGGGCCAGATGGAGACCTGAGTGGGCCCACATGCATGTGGCCATAAATGCCGATGTTCTTTCCATGGCTCAGCAAATGTGCAACTTACTTGGCTAGCACTTTATAGTTTATAAAGAACCTCTGTATCAGTAATGTCACATTTCCTCATTATGAATATATGGGGCAAGATGGGCAGGGAACTTGATTCCTGTTTTATAGGTGAGAATATATACAGACATTGTGGACCTGCTCAGGTCCATAGGAACATAATCAGAAGAGCAGGGTTTTAAACCTGCTGTGGCTAACCCCTGAAAGTACACTGTGTCAGGAGCATAGCAAAGGGAGGCAGATCTCACGGTCCCGACTCACTCTCAAAATTTTCCCTCTCTAGTCCTCCAATCTGGCATGCTCAGCCATCCAGCACACTGTCCCCTGATCCTGTCCTCCCCACTCTTGGCTCTCCATGTGCTGGGGGGGGGGGCATGTTTCTTCATGAGCAACTCAGTAGCTCCTCCCCAATCTCCCCCCCCCCCCATAAGTCCCAGCTCCACAAGTTCCAACCAGACTCTGCTCTCACAAGCTGTACTAGTGCACATGCGCTTGTATCCCGTCCCTTCTAGATGCTTTCTCTTGGCCACGGTTGTTACTGTGAGACCACTGAAGAACACATCTATACCAAGTCTTCAGGATTAATCCCACCATCATGGCCCTAGCCTATCAGTTCTCTGGTGTGTATTCATTTACAGAGTGGTGTGGTGGAGATGATGAGTTAGGAGGAGCTAGCTTGGAGTCTTGTTGACTGACTCAGTAAGATACCTATTCCTTTATAGTCTCTCTTCGTTTCTAAGATGGACACAGACTCACATGCTGTCAGCTGCCCATGAAGATGAAGTGAGTTGGTAGTTAGGAAAGCATGAGGAAAAGCTGCAAAGGGAGGGACAAAGATTAGGGTGAAAGTGACAGGAGTCACAGTGGTAGCAGCGGTGGCAGTTAATGTCGGACATTTAAAATAGTTTACGTTTTTATTTACTTACGTACTTTTTCTGCAAACAAGCTTTGCCATTTACTTGGCATGCACCCCTGAGGGAAACACTGCCATGAAGACTGAGGGCTCCAGATGGGATGAGTGTGCTGGGAGTATGGCAGAGCATTTGTAGCTGGATGATGTTCCATGCTTGAAGCATGAGGTAGAACAGGGCATTCTGGGAAGGTTTTGGTGTGTGAAAAAGCAGAGAGGAAGAGCTGCCTCCTCTTAGCCCAGGACTTTGTTTCCATTCAACTGAAGGTTCTGGGGCAGCCTGGGCAGCTGACTCATACTTCTTGATAAGTTCTTTTATTTTTAAATTTAATTTTATTTATGTGTGTATGCTGTGTATGCTGGTAGCTGGAGGACAGAAGAGGATGTCAGACTCCTGAAGCTAGTTATAGGCAGTTGTGAGCCACCCTTTGTGGGTGCTGGGAACTGAACTCAGGTCCTCTGCAACCCCTCTTGGTAAGTTCTAATGGTTTCATGTGAGAAGATTTTCAAAGTAACCTGGAAACACAACTGTTCCATGCTGTGGCATCTCCCGGGGAACCAGCTCTTCAGAGATGCTCAAGGCTCAGAGTCACCCTCATCTACAGACAAGCAGTATCAAAATGGGCTCTGTCTTCATTCACCTCTGTACAGCTTTGCTCAACCTTTTTGTACAGCTGTGGCCTGACCCTGGGAAACAGTTGACACAAAGTAGGTTCTGACCTCTGAGAGAAAGACACACAAACCCAGTAGATATCAAACCATCAATGTAATGACAGGTGTTCACAGAAGCCCAGGAAAAGGGTTCCAGTAAGTCCAGGGAGAACTGGAAGGCATGCCAGGGAAGGGCATGTGGTCAAGCCCTAGTGCAGATGTGCCATGGAAGGACAGAGTCGCAGGAAGGAGTGCAGGGGATTCAGAGCATCTACTGGGACCTGCCGGGCGGGGACAGGGGGGATGTCTGTAAGGCCTATGTCCTTACTTAGACACAGTTCTGAAGCCCCCAGGTATGTGCCGGCTGACACTCTAGAGGTCAAAGGCCAAGGAGTATGGCTGTAATTGACAACCTCACTGGAGTTCCCTTTCCAGTATGCTTGTGAGCTACCAGAGGGCACGTGCTGTAGCTTCTCTTCTTTCCTCAGAGCAGTTGACAGGGTCAAACAAGGGGCCACACCTCGTCAGTGAATTTCATAAACTGCTTCAGCACCTACTTTGAGTGGGGAGTGGATAACACAAACACGTCCTGGTATCTTCTTACAAGGAGCCTGAAGTTCACTGCTCCTGAACTGGGTCAGCCAGCGTGTAGGGCTGGGCTGGACCCTAGGGTGGCAGGAAGGTCTGAAGAGCTGTAGGCTGAGAGGGCAGTACTGACAGACAGACGGGAAAGCGGCAGCATGTGTGCAGGAAGGCAAAGGCAGGTGGTTGTGGCTGGTGTGAGTAGTGCGAGCAGGGGCAGCGATGGAGGCGGCAGCAACAGCAGCAGCGGCCCGATACGCCCGCCCCATTAGGGGAATAAGCGCCACTCGAAGGCTTCAACGAGGAATGGTATTTAGATCTGTTTTCTCAAGATCACTGTGGCCCAGCAGGAACACTAGGGGAAGGAAGGGAGGCCACTGCATGGCCACATCAGAGTATCAGGATGTGATGGTTCATACTGTTAATTTGACAGGTTCTAGACTCACCTAGCTGACAAGACTCTGGCCATGCCTATGTGGGATTATCTAGATTGGGTTGTGGTGGGAAGACCCACCTCATCTGTGGGTGTCACCATTTCACTGGCAGGGTCTCAAACTCAATCAAGGAGAAAATGAGCTAAGCGCCAGCATTAACTGCTTGCTCTCTGCTACCAACTGCCGGAAGCTCCGGTCACCATGGTTTCCCTGTTATTATGGACTGTATTCTTGAACTATGAGCCCAAATAAAAAATCCTCCTTCTGTAGACCAGGCTAGCCCCAAACTCAGAGATCTACCTGCCTCTGCCTCCCAAGTGCGGGGATTAAAGGCGTGCGTGTTGTCCCCCACCCCCCACCCCGCTCCCCCTCCCCCCTCCATTTGCTTCTTGTTAGGTATCTGATCACAGCAATGAAATGTAAAAACTGGACAGGAAAAGGAAGACAGGCTAGGTTTGAGAAACATGGAAGAGAATGACAGAACTCGATACTGAGCTGTACTGGATGAAAAGGAAAGGAGGCGGAGCCAAGGAAAAGTCTACATTTCTATCCAGAAGACCAGTGAATGGAGGCCTACTTCTGAACACGCTCAGCAGACAGCCTTTCTGAGGTGAGCAGGACTTGTGCTGATCTCCCAGGAAGTCTGCCAGTTGGGATGACATCTTCCATCACTTGACTGGGTTCTGGAAGGAGAAACTCACTCTCCATGTCCATGTGGTATGTAGGCTAGCCTTGTGGATCTGGTGACCCTAACAGACAGGAGCGGCCTTGGGGGCCTGGTTTGCAGGGCTGGTGCTTCAGCTCCTCCATTTGTAAGGCAGTAACTGTGCGCCAGCCTTGCTAGAAGCCCCGCAGCTGGGGATCACACTGATAAATTCACTGTATTACTTTGCACAAATCAATATCCCAGCACTTACCAGGGGTTGATGTGACCGAAATTGGTTTCAGCCAATTCGTGAGGGTAATAAATGGCCATTTATCAAATCAATTCATTCTGCAGCACTTCTCTGGCTGCCCATCTTCATGGTACCCAGGGGGTGCCAGGTTCTGTCCCCATCTAGATAGTCCCTAACATACATGTGACACTATCTTGGAGAATCCAGAAAGGCCTGACATGGCCTCTAAATCAGCCCCACCCTCCTACGCCTGCTGGAGTTCTAAGGTGCCAGGGTCCTGGGTAGTGCCTCATGCTTTGATCAGGCTTGCACCACAGCCACTAGGCTGCTCATTCCTTCTGTTGGGGATCCAGAAGCTTCTGGGATCTGGTCACAGGAATGAGCATGGTGCAGGACATTCTCAGTGTGATCCAGTGGTAGGGCTCCTCAGAAAGGCAGGTGCACAGCAAATGAAATAAAAAAAGGCACTGCCCTGTACAACATACAACATGGGTTCCAAGGGTACTGTCTTATGTAGGGTCACCAGAGCCATAGCAGGGCCAATCTGTATACACCGGAGCAAGGAGTGGGCCTTCCTGGCAGTCAGTTCACTGCTGACCTAATGTGGCATTCAGAAGACAGAGAGAGGCTTTCAGGGAATGGAGTTCCCAGGGTACATATTCTGACAGTTCTTGGAGGTAGACATTAGATCAGCCAGTCTGAACCAATTGCAAGGGATGGCATCAAGAAAGGCACCAGAGGTCAGTTCAGTGCTGGGAAAGAGGCAAGCTGGGACTGGGTGCCCAGTTACAAGTGAAAGAAATCAGCTCTGGGCGTGACCTCAAGAGTACAGGATCCAACTCAAGAAAACATCTTGAGGACAGGGATTAGATTGTGGGCTAGTGGCCGAAAGAAAAGCACGGGCTTCCGAGTCATGGGGTGTTGGTCTTGGTACCGCACTATAGAGTGATGCTAAAGAGGGTGAGGTGCACAGAGGAAAAGTGCCCCTGTAAACGCTGTTTCTGGGGAGTGTTTGAGCGTCCGGGCTTGAGGGGCTGCTGAGAAGTGAAGGTCAGAGGTTAGGAAAACGCCAGCTGGAAACAGGTATGTAAGAAGCTGAATCACTGAGGGCAGCTGTAGTCCAGTCCAAGCGGACGTCGGACTCCAACAAGTCGTGTTTCTGTTAGGCTTCAGGTGGGGTTCCCACCCCATAAGTGGCAGCTGGAGACAGATGTGTATAATTAGAACCTAGGAGCATCAAGGAGCAGAACTGGGTCCAAATGGTGGCTCTTCTCAGCACCTACATAACACTGCAGATTACCTTCTGATTTCTAGATGGGATGGCATCTTTGGTCCCTAGGCTTCATTCATCTGCTGAAGGAGTCAGGCCCCTGGTGAAGGGATCATGAGCTCTCATGATACATGAGGATGATGGAGATAAGGTTGGGCTCAAGATGTCTTGGGCTAAATGCCACCATTTTCTAATTACTCCCTAATGTGTCCCCAGAATGTCCCAAAGAGAGCAGCCTGGATTCCAGCCTGATGGCCCCTTTCTTAGTAGGTAGAGCTCGGTGAGTCCTGAACAGACACTGGGTGGCATGCAATGGGATGAGATGCTTAGAGACTAGAGGGACCAGTCAGCAGGACTAGCAGAGACAGTTCACTCTAGCTGAATGGCAGATAGGCTAAAGGGCCTGTTCAAAACATAAAAACTGGGTTCTGACTTCATAGGTGTAAATCAAGGCCTGAAACTGTGGCTGCTGGTGCAGAGAATATCCTTGGAAAAAATCACTTGTCTCGATGGGTGACCCCCCACCCCCCTCCCCACTTAGCTTAATCTGGCACAGGCAACTGCTTCCCTGCCTCACCTGACTCAAGTCACCCTGAAACAGGCACAGGTCTGAGTTGCAGAACAAAGGTGAAGCACCTACCTTCACCAGCACCCACTGTTCACATCTGTCAAGAGAGAGCTGTGCTTGGCAGGAGGCCCTCAGGATAGGAATGAGCCCTTCAGTAGTGGGGAAATGAAGGTGTTTTCTGTAAGATCCAGCCATGCAGCTGCTGGTAAACCATTCTCAAAGTTTGGGACTGAGTCCTGGGCTGGCTGGCACATAGAAACTGAAGCCTTGTTCTAGCTTAGCTACCTACCACCCCTTTCTGAGTCTCAGGTGTCCCACCTTAAAAGTAGGAGATGGGGGTAGTGGACCAGATGATTGCAAGAGTTCAATTCTAAGCACAGGAAAGTAGCCTCAAGCAAATTTCTTAAATGCTGCACCATGTTCCTCTGTATAATGGCATTTGATAGTGCCCATCTCATAGCACTGCTATAAGGACTAAATGACCCAAAATATGCCAAGGACTTTAAGACAATGCCTGGCATACAGATGGTACTCAGCAAATGATAACCTTGACTATAAACTGTATCTCTCCGGCTTTGGGGCAGCAAGAGTTGCACCTCTGCAGCGGAGCACAAGCTACCCTGACCCTTCCCCACCTGACTAGTGCTGAGGACTCACCTGCACCCACGGTGGCAATGGCACTCTCCTGGCCAATGATGTGTTCCTTCAGTCGCTGCTCTAGCGGGAAGCGGCGCCGCTCCTCTGCCTCACGCTTCCTCTGCTTCTCCATGTACTAGGGGAAAAGAACAAATGGTTCAGGGGGGCTGGCCTCAGCAGGACCTTGGGTTAAAGGTCCCTCGATGCAGGGGAGAGCTGCCGATGCTGGGGCTCCAGGGGTCCTGCTCTGGCTCCTGACCACTGAAGACTGGCCCAGATCATCCCCAGCCCCACTGTTCAGGACAAGCAGGAGTGGCAGGGCCTACCCACAAATGCTTCTTGGACAGAACCAACCATTCTTCACATGGTTTGACAGTGGTTAACTGCTTCCATCCAAGACTGTACCTTTCACTAAAAATGCTACTGGGAGATTTTCTGAATGTCTGTCAGCCTGTCCTGACTCCACAGAGTGCTTCCTAAGGGCAGGTTCCAGCTGTTTCTGTCATGGACTCTGACCCAGCATCATCAGGTGAGTGTAAAAATTAATGTAAGGGGAGGCACAAAAAAGGAGAGAATTAACAGCTAGATGGGGTGGTGTAGGTGTACAGAAAAGGGGAAGATACACAAATATGGAATGCTTGTGGGGAGGGGCTTTCTGGGACATAGGACATTGGCAGAAGCTGGAGGACTGGCAGCCGGGCAGAGGGGCTGAGGGTGCAGGCCTGATGGGAAATCATTTCCTGAAGCAGAAACAGGCAGGTCTTAAACTGAGGGGCAAATGCCAGGTCTCAGGCAGCCCTAGTAACTCAGGCATCTTTCTTGGGAGAGAGCTGACAAGGTAAGGCCCTGTCACAGAAGTTGTGGTTGCAGATGGTTCTTGCGGGCAGAGTGGATGAAAAATACCTGCTGCTTGGGTAGTGTTTTCCTGTTACAGTAGTGACCTTGACAGAAGTTAAAAAAAATAAATAGCAAACAATCCAATTTTGGCTGTTGCTATCAGTCCGTAACTGAAAGCTCCCATCAGTCCTCGCTTTCATATGGAGCAATAATTCGGCGCCGATCCCAGTGGAGTGACGCTTGCCGGCTGGAATCCAGAGTGTCACTGTGCAGCTCCCTCAGGCGCCACATACATCACCTGGCTCTGCCAACTCCAGCCATATATCTGCCTCTATCTCCTCCCTGCCCACAAGCCCATTCAGCACTCAGGCCCACTGGGCTGGGAGGTGCTGATGGCAAGACACACACACACACACACACACACACACACACACACACACACACACACACACACACACACACTTGGCTCGCCAGGGTTTGCTGGCACGTTTACACATTACCATGAGACTGCTGTGTGCCAGGCACTGTGCTCAGCACTTCATCCAGTGTTTCAATGTTTAGAGTCATTATCTATCTGAAGGTGGGCTCCTCTTCTGGCTCATAGTGAACTAATTATTTGGCAGAATGAAAAAGCTTCTCTGTAGACAGATATGAACTCCAATGACCTCATCATTTAAGAGCTAGTGACCTTGGGTAGTGAGTTTTCCTTCCAGGAGCTTAGTTCCCTCACCACAGCATGGCGATGGTGCTCACACCCACCCTCTAGAAAGCTTAAGGAGGGAAGGAGATAAGCACTTGGCCGAGCCTGGCACACAGCAGATATGGGTGGATAAAAAGTGGTAGTCAGAGATGTCTTCCAAGTACCTGCCCTTAGCAAGTGTTTGAGCGCATTTTTCTCTCTTCCTTTCCTTTTCCTTCCAGGAGTGGGGATTGGGCCTAGGGTTCTTGCTCATGCTAGGCAAGCACTGTAACCCTGAGTATATGCCAGCCCTCGTCTTGGATAAATACGATTTCTTTTTACTCCAGCTGGTAAGCAATTGGCTAATCTATCATCTGTTTTTTGTTTTTGGCAAGGGTGGAGGATTCCTTTGAATCAATTCAATCACAGGCAGAGGACCACAGACTGAAAGAAGAGGTGCTCTGGCTTAAGCAGAAGCTGGAACCAAGTCCACTTGGGTGTCCACTGCCCGGGCAGCACCTCCTGAGGCTCCCTCTCTTGGAACCTCAGTCTGCAGGTGCTGTTTCCATATCGTCTATTTCTGGAGACTCCTTGACGACCTGAGGCAGCCATCCCTGGCCACCAGTTTCCCTTACATGGCATGGAATTCTGTCTCTGCATGTTTTCCATGCGGCCTCATAGAACACACCTTTCTCCTTTGTGCCAGGTAATGCCTAATGAGACTTTTTATTCCAATTGTTGAGTGATGTATGACCACCATGGTTCCCCAAGTATTCTCCAGAGAACATTTCTTCTTCCTGTAACTCTTCTTTGGGGTCAAGATTGTATGTTGCTTTAGAAGTTCCATTAATTTCTTGGACAAAGGGCAAGAGTCTCTAGTTACTATGGAAGAGAGCATGGGGAAATAGGTATGAATGACTGGTTTCTTGGGAGCTTCCTAGATGGTCTTGGGAAAGGTTCCAATGAAATTAACCCCTAGAACACACTCAGATCCTCCTAAGCATCAAGTCTGAAATAGCTATTTATTTAGAAAAATTTCTGAACGTGTACAGATTTCTTTGATAAAAATGTACAGGAGGGCTGGCAAGATGGCTCACTGGGTTAAAGCACTTGCTCTGCAGACCTGACCAGCTGATTTCAATGCACAGATCCTATGGGAGGACGGCACAACTTCTGAGAGGTGCGCTTTGGCTGCCACACACGTGCACCATGGCATACACGACTCTGCATTTATATACACGTATCATGTATATCACACAAATTAAAAAATGTGCAGCATGTTGGGAGTTAAATGAGGCCACATGTTACTGTTTTGTGTTGTTTTGCCAAGGCATAGAAGAGTTTGTACTAAAAAGTGTACTAAATCACCTTTTAATTTGTATTGTTTTACACCACTAGGGATTGAACACTGGGTCTTGTCCATACTAGGCACAGGTCACTTTTTAAAAAATCATTTATTTAACTTTATTTTATGTGCATTGGTATAGCAGTGTCAGATCTCCAGGAACTGGAGTTATGACAGTTGTGAGCTGCCATGTGGGTCCTCTGGAAGAGCAGTCAGTGCTCTTAACCACTGAGCCATCTCTCCAGCTCCTCCCCGCTTCCAGGTCATTTTTTAAAGGCATCTGTCCCAAGCCCAGCCTTATGGAAAGCTAGTCAGTCGGGGGTGGGGTGGGGGTGGGGGACAAACAAACAAACAGAAAACTGGAGAAGGAAACACTTGGTTTGTATATTTGTATCTGTTCAATCTAGGGGAGAGGACGCAGAAGGAGAAGAGCTGCACAGATGCAGGCTACCGTTGTGCTGGTTCTTTGAGGCTGGCGGAGGAAGGTACAGGACAGAGTTCAAGGGTCTGCTTTAGGAGGGTTCCACTTATCTAGAAGACATGGCAGGTAAGGAGCCAACAGAAGCAGAGGGTGCTGGACTGAGGTCCTGCGAAGGGGCTGCCAGGAGAGCAGCTGTGCAGAGTGACCATTTTCTTAATAAAAGCCTGGGACAATTAACTTCAGACACTCTCACCTGGAGCTGGCAGTAGCCAGCTTCCCATGCTGCATCTTGGCTGGATAATCACAGCCCCTGGTTTCTATCAGTCTTGATTTAATATGGCACTCCTCCTGGCTATGAGTGCATTTACAGGAAAGGGCTGGGAGGCCTAGCTAAGCTTGTTCCACTCCAAGGTGAGTGGCAGGGCTGAGTGGTGCTGCAAAGAAGGTCTTTGAGTGAAAGGCGCATGACAAGCATCTTGATGACTGGCATGTTTTAAGGGACAGGCTTGACAACGAAGCTGGTAAGGAGAGGGCAGCTGTGTGCTGGTAGTAGGTGGACAGAATAAGTCCCTGGACAAGAGTAGGGTTGTGAGGTGTAGAGGAAGGAACAGAAGAGAGGTCCAGCCAAGTGTGCAAGCTCTCTTGGCAAGGCGAGACAGCCAGAGAAATGGGCTGTTCCTATACCCTCAGGTGTGCCCCATACTTCTGACTCCTAATTCACATCTGAACTTAGGTCATGGTCAGGGCTTCAGGTCCCTGAAATGTGGTGATAGGAAGAACTACGCAGGAAGGTCAACAAAGGGGTCTAGAGGGCACAGAGGAGACTGGGGTGAAGTGGCCATAGCTGAGGAAATCCAGGGTATCCAACACAAAGAAACTGCCTTATTGAGTTATATAAAAAATATAGTAAGTCTGAGGGACACCAATCAAATGGGAAGAGGAGACTATGGGGTGACAGGTAGGAATGGACTTGAAAGCCTCTTGAACTAGTCCATAAAACACACTCCATGTGAAAAGGCTGTCCACAGGGTAGCTAGCGTCAGTCCCGCTGCCCTTGGTGACCACCAGGTCAGCTTCCACAGCCCATTCTTTACTTTTCCAGTCCCTCCTCTATGTGCCAGAGAAGTGTTTTAAAAATCTCACCTCTCTATGGCAACCCAGAGGGCCCCCTGCCTCTGCTTGTACTGGGTCTTCTTTTGAAGGCTCCAGAGCCGTCCTGCTGGGCTAGGGCTCTCTCTCCTGCTGCCAACAGACCTGGCTTGAATTTACTTGTGTGATTTTGACAGTGTCACATCTCTGTAAATGGCTGGGTTGTTCCGAAGACTGGTGAGGGGATGTTAAGAAGGGCAAGCAAGCGGTACAGGGAGGAAAGGAGTGGGATGCTCTCAGGTTCTGGGCATGTGATGCTGACAATCCCATGGCTCCTCATCCTCCATCCCTTGGATAATAAAGTGGTAACTGCCAGGTTTCTCCACTGCCAATCTCCCCTTTATTTTTAGGGGAGGCTTTGACATTGTGAAGTAAATATTCGGTCACTTTGCAAGCTTTCAGTTTCTAGATTTTGGCATCAGTGATGGGTCTTGACTGATCTGGGGTCAGTGTTTTGACCCTCACAGCTCTGGAAGGTTGACCAAGTCACTGTCTTGATTGGAGAGATAAGGGAATTCAAGCCAGATCTACCGGTAGCAGGAAAGAGAGGTCATTAACCCTGGAAGGCTGCCTCTGGAGCCTGTACTTTCTACCTGGGGATGAGAGAAGCCTCATCTTCACTCAGTTTAAGGTCTAATTATGAAGGTGAGATTTAAAACACAAATTTGCTCTCTTTGCTTCTACTCCTGGGTTACATAGTGAATT